TATATATATATATATATATATATATATATATATATATATATATATATATATATATATATATATATATATCTTAATTCTGTCTATCTTTTTTTCCTTTAGCACATAATATTGAGTTAATTGCATAGACCTCTGAGAAAGGTCTACTTGTTGAAAAAGTTCTTGTATTAAAAAAAAATAGCATCCACCCCCCTATAATGCGTTTTATTTAGCCTAAGATCTGGATATTGACTTAGGGTGAAATGACAAAACTATCCTGATTTAATATTATAGCTAAAATATAAATTATTTGTTGGAAAAAGAACGAGAGAGGAGTAAGGACATATAAATCCGGTCGCTAAAAGGGAAAAACAATATCACAGGGGTGTCGTTCGCTAAAAACTCCATAATCTTACATCATAAATCATTTTAGGTAGAATTGTTATAGATTACAATAGAAAAATAATAGAAAATAGAAAACAATTATATTGTACTTAAACTAAAAACCTCATGTACTAATTCAAATCAAGGTCATTCCATCTAATTCAGTAAAATAATCGATATAACCATGGCAATATCAAGTTAATTCAAATTTTAAAGAAAAAAAGTAAAAGGGAATGGTAAAAGAAAATTAATGGCAGGATATACGCTCATATTATTCACCTACGCATTATACTCCACTACTTCGAATTATGAGTTACATGTGAGTTCGGCTTTAAATAGAGCACAATATTTTTTTTTTGTCAAATTTGTACACGTATTTTGAAATCCTTGGAATCAAAATAACACCCTAGGGGGTCAGTGTAAGACGAAAACAAATATTATGAGATTCAGGTAATTACAGATAGGTAGAGGTATTTTTTATAATTTAGCGTAAGTTTAGGAAGGTTTTCGTAATTTACCATAAAACAATTGAAATTAAAGATGGAACAAAAATTAATGTAGGAGGTCTCGGTGGACTATTTAGATTGAGCTATTTAGATTGAGCTCTGCTAATTAATTTGACTGATAAGTAAATATTCATTTGATTCCAATACTTATGAACAAAGAAAATAAAAGTAGCAATCTGAATAAAACAAATTCATAACCAAACCATGTGAAAATTTTTGAACAAGGCGTGGACAAATTATAATTTTCTCAAACAACATTAATCAACCCATCTTTAATTGTTCGGCAAAGTCCAACGTTCCTTTTTTCATCATAGCCTTGAATTCATCGTAATTTATTCTCCCATCCTATGATAATAAATTTTCAAAAATTACTACGTTACCCCAAAAAAATTACAAACAATCATTAATATAACATAAAATTAATAATATTAACAAGAGTATTGCTTACTTTGTCAATGTCGACATCATCGAGAACCTCGTCAATTGTTTCTTCATCTCCGATTCCATATTGTGTCATGGCTTGTCTCAATTCATCTCTTGTAATAAATCTGATGAATAACAACAATACAAATTACTTAGTTTCGGAATCAATTAATATTTCATTTGATTGAATTTTCCTATATTGATCTTACACGTGTCCAATTAAAACGTACCCGCTATTATCCTTGTCGAAATATTGAAATGCCTTGTATAAATTCTCTTCTTTATCCAACCTATGCCGATGCATGGTTGCGGTGATAAATTCGATGTAGTCGATGGTTCCATTCTTGTCAACATCAGCCTACACGAGCGCAAACAAAATTAAAGACCGCTAGTAATCAAATAAATGTACCTTCAATATTCATAATTAAATTAATTAAAACGAAATCGCTACCCTTAAAAATTTCTTACAGCTTCCATTAGTTGTTGAATTTCTGATTCACTAAGCTTGGATCCTAACTTAGATAATCCCGTCCGGAGTTCTTCATAAGTGATCGTACCACTTCCATCAGTATCCATATTATTGAACATTTGTCTCAATCCTTTAATTTCTTCTTCTGACATATTTTCTGCAATAACCTTCCAAATAATCCAAATTTAATATATTAGCGAGAAAAAAAAATATCTTAATTCGATCTTATATTATTGAATATTTTCAATACCTTGAGAGCTAGTTTTTTCAGCTTGTTCATTGCCCTAAATTGCTTCATCCTGATTAAAACGGCACTATCAATCGGTTCATCGGATGCTTCACCATCTTTCTTCAACCATGGATGCTCTGATTGATATGCAATCAAAATTTATTAAAAAATAAAATATAGTATTATGTTTTTTATTTATGTATATACTGACCAAGAGCTTCAGCAGCAGTGATTCGTTTCTTTTGATCTAGGGTCAACATTTTCTTGATTAGATCCTTTGCCCCGTTTGAGATGGAAGGCCATGGCGATGTTTGAAGATCTAGATGACCCTTCAATATTTCTTCAAATATGCCTTTCTCCGTCTCTAAAAAATCAATCCATATTTCAATTGAAAATAAAATTTTAAAATAAATATATCTAACAACTTATCAGCTTGTAAAATAGTTTACTACATTCATGAGAAAATAAATTTATTCCGACTCTTAATTACCAGCCCAAAAGGGAGGAAATCCACTTAAGAGTATGTATAATATGACTCCAGCACTCCACACATCTATCTCCTTGCCATAATTTCTTCGTAATACTTCTGGTGCCACGTAATAAGCACTCCCGACAATATCTCTATACAATTTTCCTGAAGAAAAAAGACATTTATCGGGATGAATTAATCATGAATTAATTCTAAACATATATTATATGTGAATTAAGTACAAAATTTGTCTAATCTTTGTTTCTTAGAATAATTAAATATTAATTGGTTCAATCCCGAGGTAGTATAGAACTATGCAATTCAACATTATTTAGAATATGTCCAAATAACTCTGGAAGAATATAATGTTGGATAATTGATAATTAGCCCATCGCAAGAGCTAATGTTAAAATGTTAGTAGATTAATTTTATTTATTTATTCTCGAAATTAATATACTTGAACACATTAAAGAATTAATAGGTATACACAAAAGTTGAAATGAATCATATTATTAACCCGTGCCCGGGTCCTTGCCCCCCCACCCGACAATAAAACAAAAATTGACCCGGTTGACCTGTCATTTTCCAGTTGACCAAGTCTTGTTGACTTAAAGTGACATCCACGTATTTTTTTTTTTTTTTTTTTTTTTTATAATGCAGGAACCCGCAGCCAACCATATAGGTGCACTGGGTAAACCTAACATCCACGTATTTTATTCTTTTATTGATAGTGTAACGGGAAAAGATAAAATTATAGAGAAGGGCATTTGCATGGAGAATTATGTGAATTAATTAATTGGGAATTTAAGCTAAATTATTTTTTTTATTTTTTTATTATTTTAAGTATAATGATTTACTAAGAAAGTAGTAATTTAATGAATTAAAGTTCTAAACTTGAAGAACACAAAAGTGTGTAAAGAAATTTGTTGCAATTAAACAATCACGTTTTCCAGCACCCAATACTTCACATCAAAGCAATCATTCAAATCAAACTCAACTAATTAATTACCCATTTAATACTCATCAAACTAAAGAAAAGCAAAATTCTTAGAATTGTTTATTGCAATTGATACCCTCTGTTATATCGAATTGCTAAAAAAATATCATATGCTACTTTAATGACAAAAAACCCCCTATGATTTTTTTTTTTTTTAGCAATTAGTACCCCTATTTAGGGAATTGCATGCCTAAAAAAAAAATTAGACCGTAGTTTTTTAGCAAAATTCGATATAACAAAGGGGTAATAAATTAAATATCCAATAATCACCATGATTAAAGCATGCAAAATTATACAAAACCTAACCTGGCTCGATGAAAACCGAGAGGCCGAAATCGGTAGCCTTCAAATTCGAATCGTCGTCTTTACTCACCATCAAGAAATTCTCGGGCTTGAGATCCCTATGCATAACTCCCATGAAATGACAAACGTGAACAACGTTAACGATTTGTCTCCCGATTATCGCCGCCTCTTTTTCCGAGTAGCTCCCTTTCGCCGTAATCCTATCGAAAAGCTCTCCACCGAAGCACAACTCCATAACCAAATGCAGGTTCTTCTTGTCCTCGTACGCCCCTTTAAACTCGACTATGTTGGGTTGACCGGTCAAATGCTGCAGGATCATGATTTCCCTTCTGACGTCGTCGATATCTTTTTCCGTGACGAGCTTTCGTCTCGATATGGACTTGCACGCGTAACTTAAACCGGTCGATTTTTCCGTGCATAGATGAGTGATTCCGAATTGGCCTCGGCCGAGTTCTTGGTGGAGGTCGTATAGAGTTGTTATGTCGATGTATGGCTTTCGGAGAATAGGTCCGATGTTGAGATGTGGGGGCGGCGGCGGCGGTGGTGGTACGGCGGCGGCTGGAGGAGGATGAGGAGGTGGGTGGTGGTGGTGAGATTGGGGTGGAGGGTCTAGTGAAGATATTGGAATGTCTCTAGATTTTTTGAATTTTGATAAACAAAAACCCATTTTTGGAAATTAAAGAAAATGTTTGTGTTTTGCTTTTCTTTTAGGTAGATGAATATATAACAAGAAATCTTTATTTATTTATTTTTTTATTTTTTAATGATGTTAGAGAATAAAAATTGTGGGTGGGGTTTAACTTTTTGAGGTGCTTTGCTTTGGTGTTTGGGGTACTCTTTTTGCCTATCTATATTGTTTTTTTATTTTATTTTATTTTTTGGTTCATATATATAGTTGTACATGACTTGTTGCGTGAGGTACCTCTTTGCCCAAAGAGTGTAGAGAAGGGAAACACATTTTAAATTGAATTTATTTGCTTCAAAGTTTGGTTATGAATTATTATTTTATTTATTCGCTATTATTAATAATTATTTTAAACAAAATTAAATGTTTTCTGATTCGGGAAACTTGTACTAATGACAGAAAAAGTGTTTGTGTTATATTTCATAGATTGATATCCGACCATCATTTTGTGCAATAATATCGTTTTAAATGTTTTTGAACGAAAAAAAAATCGTTTTGTGGAAGAATTGGAAAAATAATGATACATGGTTTGATTTTAATAAACATAGTTTAGCAGTTCAATCATGTTAAATGAGTGTTTTGTTTTGAGCAATATTTATGATTATCTTGGGGAAGTATATGCGGAAAAAAAATTAAACAGTTAGAAACCCGATTTATAATCAAGCGGCATTGTGTCACGCTTAAGGTGATGATGCGAACGATACTTGGAAAGACCCCATGCATTGTATTGTCCCTTTTGCCATTTCCACGTGTTGGTGTCACGTGTTCCAATACGACGTTGTCGTGTTGTGGTTGAGGCTATTCACAAGAAACCCTAATTTTATATTTAGCAAACAACGTACCCCATCAAATTAATCCAAAGAAAAAAACCCCGCAATTTGAACCGAGTAATCTTTGTATCAACTCTGTACTGAATTTGAACTTGAACCAAGCAACTTGGTGCAATGATTTAATTAAAATAATAATTGGAAATTAATCGACCAGTAGTTAGTCGAATCAATTGGAGTAAATCTTATTGAATGAATGAATAAATGCTCGATCGTTAGGGGCACGAATACATGTTAAAGTGTTTAGCAATTTGATATAATTATAATTCATACCTATCTTATAACAATACGAATTATATTTATATCTAAGATTGAAATTTGTTAACATCTGAGCCGTCTTAGCTCAGCTGGTAGAGCGCATGGCTTTTAACCATGTGGTCGTGGGTTCGATTCCCACAGACGGCGTCTGACTGCATTAAAATGTTTTAATATTTTATTTCTGATTTTTGCCTTAATAATTGGAAAAATACAATTTTCATCCCCTGATGTTTGCATTGATTTCAAATTTGGCCCCTCATGTTGACAAAAAATACTTTTATCTCTCATATTTCATTAATTTAACATTTTTTGTCATTTCCGTCAATTTTTCGTTAGTATTAACGGAATGAAGTATGTTTTTTTTCTGAACATGGATGACCAAATGTGTAATTGGCGCATACTTAAGGAATGAAAAATGTAATTTTCCCGATTAATAATATAAACATGCCCAACTTAAATGTATTAGCATTCTGAATGCATTAATTACTAAAATTAAATATATTTACATACATAACTCCGGTTATGTTTATGTTCATGACCCAATTGAACTCATATAGAGTGGGCTTTTGGTTAATTTCGAATTGTCTAGAATAACTAAATTTGTAGTTTGTGTTACAATATTTTCCCACGGTCAAGTAACATTTTCAATGTTATTAAATATTACACCTGGCAAATATTAATAATATAGTAAATGCTAGTATAGTAACAGAATAATGAATTGGTTGAATTAACAAAATTCTTATTAGTTGTATATTTCTGTCAAAAAATCAAAAATTGAATTGTCATCGTTCATTATTACCAAAAAATAAATTAAAATTAAATGAAATGAAATGTGTGGAAGCCAGGTTGTTATTTACTATATTGGATGAATATTTGGAATCCAAATAAATTCTCACCGCACAATTGTCTAATAAACGATGTTTCCCGCTTTAATTTTGGCACCAAATCCCAACCTATAGCACCTCTCTGTATTCACCCCGTTGAACAGAAGAATATTCCGGCATCTGGGCTTCGATTCCTTTGACACGCATGCAAATATTTGATGATTTTTATCCACGTCCCCTGAATTTGGTATTTTGAAATTTACACCCCAAGCATTTAACATTTTGACATATACACCCCCTCCATCTATTTCTCCATTAGTGGTCCGTTATCTTTTGATGGAAAATACACATTTGCCCATACCCTTTGCATCTACCTTTGGTATTTTGGCAATTATATCTCAAAAAAAATATTATTATTATTATTTTGGAATCTACACCCTTATCGAACTTATTTTATTGAGAATGTGTAAGCTTAAGAAACTAATTACAAAATCTTTTATGAACCACAAGTTTATTCTTTCTTTATTTATTTCAATGTAATTTTCCTACTCTACCCCTCAAATTAACGGACTACTAACCGAAAAATGAATGGAAGGAGTATATATGCCAAAAAGTTAAATGTTTGGGGATGCTTGCCGAAATACCAAAGTTCAGGGGAGGTGGATGCAATTTAACTACAAATATTTATCTCTATTTTTTGAAGTTTTTTACATTCTCACCTAATTACAGTCTGTAAGAATTTAATCTTGTCAATAAAAAACATTAAGTGCAATCTAAATCATAATTACTTGAATCTAATACGATTGACTGTCAACCTCTTCACAATTTGAGGACAACTAATTCACGCAAATGTTGTTTTTAATGACGTCATTTATTGCAGAACGATTTGCCACGCCACTTATAGCTTATTTACCAAAATAGGTTCCACCTTTTGAAATTGGCTTAATCCTATTTTACACCCTTGAATTGAAGCATTTTTTTTTTGCACACTTCAAAAATAATATTAGCATTTTACACCCTCTAAACAAAATAAATCATTCACAATACACCCTTAATTGAATAATAAAGAATAATTCATTTTTATTGGTTTTTTTCCGTGTGCAAAATAACAAATTAAGTCATTATTTTCTTCAACCTACAAAGGGCGAAAAAATAAAAATCACACAAGATAACTGAAAAGAATTATATTTACTTACAAAATATAATCAAATGAACTTTTATCACTAAATTATTCGATTGATAGATGTTTTATTGTAATTGGTGGAAATAGTAGAAATATTTGAAAGAAAATATGATTTTCAGATAACTTGATAACGAAATAGTTGAATGATTTTTTTCCTAAAATGTCTTTTTGTGATAAAAAAATATACTTTTTAAATACCACTAAAATTATTAAATTACCTTTTATTAGCTTTAAAAACTCATTTAGGTGCATTGTGCATCATATATTGTGTTTTGAGGGTGCAAAATATAATTAATTTATTTTAAAGGTGCAAAATGCAAAAATTGTATATTTCAATGGTGCGAAGTGGGATTAAACCTTTAGAAATTCATCTTTTTCGTCTCATTTCTTTTCTTGCAAGAATGTTATTCATGTCCGAAAATTGTATGTGGGCCAATTTATTAAAATAATAAATAAATAAAATAAAAATGATATAAGCCCGAATGAATACGAAATTAGTGAAACAAAACAAATTAATTTATAACTAATAAGATGAATATGACTTAACTAATCAAAAATAAAAAAATAAAACAAAATTGTACATACAAAAAAAAAGAAACAAAATTGTGAATGATTCTAAAGAAGAGAGCAATTCCGGTTCATTTTAGCAAGGATCAATTTCAGGTGGATTGAAAAGCTCAGGACCAATGGCGGCTCTGCAAACAGGGCAAATTGGATTCTTCGAAAGCCAAGCATCGGCGCATTCTAGATGGAATCCATGGTTGCAACCTGGTACCATTCTAGCCGGTTGATCGCTCTCGATTTCGTCAAGACAAACCGCGCAGTCACCGGCCAGAACCAAATCCTTGCCGGTCACTTTCGGAAGCTTCTCGAGATCGGAAGGTGAAAGGCCCTTAGTTTGACCGGCTTTAACCGGCGGTTCGGGTAACTCCGGCTGGTTCTCGTCGTTGTTCGCGGCGTAGCATAGCAAACAGATGTAGACAAGAAACACCGCGCTCATGCCGGCGCACGGTAGAAACAGTGCCAGAAATACCGATACCAGCATTTTTCTTGTCTTTTTTCTTTTTTTTTTTAAAGAAATAAAAAAAAAAATAGGAGAAGTGTAAATTCTAGGCGGGTTGGAGGGTAATATAGTCCATGAGAGAAGACGAAGAGAAAATGGGTGGGGTGTGTGGGTATTTATATGGGTAGGGTTTTAGGCTTTACGCTTTAGGGGGCTGTTTGGCTGCGGGTTTAATTTGCTGGGAAGAGTTAATCCTAATTTGGGGATGGCTAATTGAGAGATTGTATATATATGCACATAATTAGGGTTTTTTTTTTTTTATTCAGGTGATTTATTTAGTATATATATGAAATTAAATGTGCATATACATTCTAGAGAGAGAGAGAGAGAGAGGAGAGAGAAACAAACAAAGATTTGATGGGCACGTAACTTTTATTGTTAGAAAAGGAGTATAGATGAGATCAATAAACCTGCAACTTTGTAACCTCTTATTTTTATTTTAATATTTTTATTTATTCTAATTATTAAATTTTTGCTATTGTTGGAATATTTTAATTTAAAACGACACAGATCCGTGGTTTACAGTGACAGTCGAATTAGGCCAATTAGAAGCATTTGGAAACTTCCGGAATTCCTATGATAAATGCTGAGGGTAAATTTGAGAAAATGTAAAGAAATGAAATTACATAAATATGAAATTAAATATTTCTCCAAAATTACAATTAGTTTGAGATTGATGGAATAGTTATTACAAAAATGATGGTAATTTTCGGGGCTCTTTTAGGAAGGCTGTTTAATGAAATTAAAAAATTAATAAAAAATATATATATATGTGGGCTGTAGCCTGTAATACATTGTATTTGTCTCTCTGTGGGCATCATTTTCGAATTTAGGTGGATACTTATAATATTATTGATATATTTGGAAAATGGGAAGAGAGATCTGGATTCTGGAGTATTCTATAAAATGTGTTGTCTTGTTCAACAAGGAATTAGGATTTCTGCTGTTAATATTTAGTCATATTGCAAAGTCACCCACCAAATTTTGCATTATGACCTTATAAGAGGTAATTTAATTTAGCTTTTACATAATACTCGGGTGAAATACACAACACTATATAAAATTTTACAACTCTTACCAATATATTCTTCATAGAGTGTAACATAGATTCTATGCCGCAAACATGTTAAATTGCCTCAATATTATAGGTTTGTTCAAAGTTACACATACAGTAGAGTTTCGATAAATTAACAATCTCGATTAAATAATATTTTTTCCCGTCCCGACCAGAAAACATACTAAAAAATATTTCTTTAAATTAATCTAATTTGGTTGGTCTTGACTGTATTAATTTCTAAAAGATTAAGGGACTTACTTTTTGGGTTCTGAAAATTGCTATTTGCAACTCATACATATTTTTTCTCTCTCTAGACAAAATCACTCGCGTCACTAATTTGGCCTAAAATCATCTTTGTTGAAGTGATATACGAACACAAATGAGCTCATCAGATGAAGATAGGGATACACATCACAACGAGGTAAAAATTTCGACATTTCGTTCGAAAAATCTGGACCGAAAGGGCAAACGCCCAACCAGGACGCCCGAATCAGTAACACACGCCCAAGTTAGGCG